TGGTACCGACAAGTGCCAAAAGTTCAACAAATTATGAATAAAACTTCTCCGCGTAGTACGGGAATAGCACCCTTCAAAATACTTACAAATCTAAACATGCGCACATCAGATAGTCCAGAATTACAAACTATATTAGACGAAATAGAGTTTGAAGACTTAAATACTCAACCCGACTTAGTGAGACAAGAGACAAAAGAAAAAATAAAGATAATTCAGGAAGAAAACGTTAGAACATTCAACAAAAATAGAACGGGGAATTTTAAATACAGAATTAATGAACTAGTCGCAATCAAAAGAACACATTTCGGGGTTGGTATGAGTTTGAGGCCGAAAAATCTCGGACCATACAAAATACTCGCACAATTACCACACGGAAGATACAAAGTAGAAAAAATARGAGTCCATGAAGGACCTAACAAGACCATTACAGTTGCAGAAAATATGAAGAAATGGGGTTAGTTATTCGAGGGCGAATAACTTGTCAGGACGGCCGATTGTAGGATTAGAATTCATTTCAAAGTTTATCTCAATTTATAAATAATGGGCAACCACTTATCCGAATGTCAAATAGTGGATKCCAATTGTGRATTACGTAGAAGTTGYGGGCGGTAAGGYTTAGCGTCCATCATAGCGAACATTTGTATTTACTCCTAATTGTAACGCCGCCTGCGTAAGACGCCTCGATAAAGGAAAGTGTAAATTCAGATAGTATTTTAATAAGCGTGTTCAAAACATTTTTAAATAAATAAGTGGTTTCGGGAAAAGTTTGACTTTTATTATTGAAAATACTATTTTATTAAAAGAAACACTACATTTATTCTTTAGCATTTAAAATAAATTTAAAGCCGAAGATCGGAAAATAAAACGATTATCAAGGATTATCTAAATTAAGAAATTATATGGCTAACTTTATTTTTAAAATAAAAATTTTCTCTGACAGTTATGCTAGAAAAGAAGTCAGCCTAATGCGAAACAATCCACGAAAATAAAGCTCCAATCGGCATCCAAGAGAATGGATACATTTTGACAGAGACTTTAGCATTGTCTCTCTTTTTCTCTCAAACGCGTTCCCTGATTATTTGACAGCGATGGAGATTAGGGAATTTCCGACAGTTGATTTCAGAAAAGGCGGGATGCCAGAAGTAAACCGCTATAATTACCTGACGAAATTAGAGTGAAATGAAATTTCATTGAACTGTGCGAACATATTTTGGCAAAATAAATGTTTATTTAAATTAATTAATGATTTTGCATTTTAGCCTTTATATATGTACGCATTTTCAAAGTGTTTAATTTAGTGTTTTGTATAATTTATTAAATACCCAATCTAATATTTTTCAGCAGTGGCATCATTGGCAAATGTTATAAAAAATTCGAGTTTTGACAGCTCTCTCTCGAATCAAAGATTCTCGTATCATATTATCCATGACATAGAGGAAGGCACGACCTTACTGCAATTCAGGGAACTGTAAAAGGCGTCGTGAAGCCTGTTCCATGATCATTTATAAAACGGCAACGGTATACAATGGCCGGCATGTATACAAAACAACACAACTGGATATGTATGTGTATGTATACAATTTCGTTGTTGCCATACTAATACCTTTCACATAAATGAAATTTTTTATACAAAAAATAAGTAAATGGGTAAATTTATTTGTTTTAAATTATTAATTGTTATTACAAATGATATAACAGAGCTATTTTATGCTTCTCTTTGTAAAATAGCGTTAGGTTTATTAAAAACTCTCAACATCTTTAATACATATTGAAAAAAAAACCTTTTACATAGGACGTTATTTATCATAATGGGATTCCGTACTTTAGTAGTCATCACTTGTGGTATGCTGATACCACGAAAATAGCAAAAAGCTTAACAAAGTCAAATTGATGAATTATATGAAATGGAAATGAACTGTTATAACTAAAATATCCTAAACAAACAAACATGAAAACAACCTTTTGTTACTGTAAACAAAATGAAAGAAAATACTTCAAAAAATCTTTATATCTTGATGCGCGAAACACAATGCTAGCGACAGACTGCAAACGACATCTGTCAAATATTAAAATACACACGTTCTTATGGACGGACCTATTTTGACAGCTGCATGGCTACACGACGGCAGGCCGACAGTTGTCGTTCTCGCTAACTTCAATTTTATCCTATATTTGCCAACGACAGTAGGACGACAGTGGAGTTGACAGT